AACAAATAAAAGGCATTAAGATTTTCTAAGTTAAGTCAGTAAGTAAGTTTTATTAAATTAAATATTTAAAACATACATGACAACAGTGCGTCGGCCTTTCATCAGTCTTATCGAACCGGCAATCGATCGCAAACGGTATCAGTGGTTAGTTATCGGGCATCGGCCGTGTTGTTTTGTTTTTGTTCGCGTACGTCGTCATGATATTTACAATGTTTTCGAATCAAGAGTTCGCCGACATAGTAGTTAGTTTACGGTGAAGCTCGTCAGAATTCAAATCTTGCAGCTCAAATTTATCGTGACAGATTTCGCCAACGGGTACACCCAGACAGAAAGACATTTGTGCAAGTGTACCAAAGACTTCGACATACAGGAAGTGTTCAGTCCACTAATATTCGCACTCGTGAAAGACAGGTTACTGTAGAGCAGAAGGAACAAATTTTGAATATCGTGGGAATCAATGCAGATTTCAGCATTCGGGAATTAGGCCGCCGCGTAGGACTATCGCTTACCATAGTCCATAGAATCCTGCGGAAAAATTTGCCTTATCCCTACAACGTACAACGAGTGCAGGCCTTGTTACCAGAGGACTATCCTCGCAGACTAACATTCTGTCAGTGGTTTCTGCACAAAAACATTGAAAATCCGGATTTTTTTAAAAACATTCTAGTGACGGACGAATGTACTTTTACGCGAGACGGGATATTAAATTTCCATAATACTCACACGTGGGCTCCATAAAATCCTCATACCATTCGTGAAGGTCATTTCGAACAATATTTTAAAATAAATGTTTGGGGGGGTATTCTTGACGATCAGGTAATTGGCCCTTTCCAGTTACTCCCAAAGTTCTCAGGAGAAGGATACCTTAGCTTTCTAGCCAATAACGTACCAGAACTTTTGGAACAGACCTTAGACAACATGCCATTACAACGGAGACAGAATATGTAGTTTCTCCATGACGGGGCACCACCACACATCCTTAGGGGCGTCATTAAGTATTTGAATGAACATTATCCAAATCGCTGGATCGGTCGAAATGCCCCTGATCTTCGAAAATTGCCAGCAAGATCTCCTGACCTCAATCGGATGGGCTGGTCCAATAAAAACTGAAGCACAACTTCTTGAACAAATTTTAATGCGGCTGAAATGATAAATCTCAAACTTGGAGGACCTAGAGTAAGAAGAAACTGGGTTCGTCGTAATGAAGCTTGTGTGGAAAGTGGAGGACGACATTTTGAACACCTTCTTTAAATACAAAAAAGTGCAGTGAGAATTTTAAAAAGAAAAACAATGTATGTATCAAAATTGTGTTCCCTATTTATAAGTGAATTTTTTTAATACGTTCAATAAACTTTCACACACCAGGTGAAGCGCAGAGACAGTTAGTGGTGAGTCCGTCTTTTTTAATTGTTTGCATTCTACGAGTACAATATTAAATAATGAAATAATACCAAAGAGCCAAAAATAACAAACTCCATCTTTATTTACACTGCGTTCCGTCGTAATTTGCGTCTGGTATTGCGGCGTTGTAAGATTTTATTTTACTTTAAAGTCGCTTTTCTCTAAAAAAATGCCGTTTTGATCCCCATGTTGTATGAAACTTTTTGCTTTTTTTAACCCCTTCTATCACCCATTTAAATATGATGACTATCATAACATTTACACCCTGTATTATGTCAAGTGGAGTGTTCGTGTCCAGAGACCGTGCCCAATCGTTGAGACAGTTCGCTTGGGATGAGATTATTTTCGAAAGCAAATGTTAAGACCTCATCTAATATGATACGTTCAGCTATTTTGTCAGCGATAGGAACGAGATTATTGTCGATGATTTTTAGCGAAGGATTTGTCACTCTTTTCGAATATAGGGGTAACAGAAGCACTGAGCTGGCATGAGGGTAGCATATGAATTCTGAAAGAGGATGTAAATAAGATGCTTAGCGGTAGTGTCAGTACTAAACCGCAGTTTTTGAGTAGATCAGCCGTGATTCCATCTTTACCAAGGGAGGAAGAATTACTAGATACCAGCAAAACAGACAGACAAAAATGATTGCACTGCTTTAAAGCCCTTTGACCTTTAATAATGTGTGGATGCACCATGATGTGCTACGCATTCTCCAACGCGCCTAGGCATGCTTCTGATCCGGTGGTCAATGTCCTCCTGTGGTATCTCATTCCAGGCAACCACCAACTCCTCTCGAAGTGCTTCTAGAGTCTGAGGAGGACGTTGCAAATTGAGCAATCTCCTACCCATCATATCCCACACGTGCTCAATTGGGGATAAGTCGGGAGATCTTGGTGGCCATGGTAACAATGTGACATCATTATGTTGAAAGAAGTCTATTGTGACTCTTGCAACATGTGGTCGGGCATTATCTTGTTGGAAAGTTGGATCTGCCAGGGTGTCAAGATAGGGTAAAAGATGGGGTTCTAGAACTTCGTGGATATAACGCTGCGCGTTCATGTTACCTCTGATGAAGATTAAAGGTGACCTGGAACCATAAGCTATAGCACCCCAAACCATAACTCCAACAGTGTGATGAACACGTCTTTCAACAAAAAACTGTGGATTCCTACTTTCACCACGTCGCCTTCTAACCCTGGCACGACCATCGTGCATGCCTAAACAAAATCGAGACTCGTCACTAAAGACAATACTGTTCCATTCCTGATCCCAGAGTGACCGTTGTCTGCACCACTCAAGGCGATTACGTCGGTGTTCTCGAGTTAAAGGGAGGACCCAGTGTGGCCGGTATGAAAACAAGCCAAAACTTCTCATTCGTCGGTAAACACTTCGCATGCCAATAGGTCTTCCGTGTTCTGCAAACCATTCATTTGCAATGGACCTGGTAGTGGAGAAACGGTCCCTTAAGGCCAATAATCTTAGACGGCGATCTTCACGGTCTGTTGTTCTACGGCGGCGTCCAGTGCCCCTTGCTCTTTGCGTACGGCCTTCTCGAAGCCATGCCTGACAACACCTAACCACAGTGTCTACACTTCTTTGCACTCTAACTGCAATTGCCCGAAAAGAAAGTCCAGCTTCCCGAAGTCCCACTATACGGCCCCTATCAAACTCACTAAGTTGACGAAATCGTACAGGTCTCCGTACTCTAGGCATCGTAACCGATCGTAAAGGATGTCAAGAACCAAAATCCGCCAACGTTGATTCTTTACTGCGGCTGAAATATTCATTTTTAGAGCGTTAGTGAATTAAAAAAAAGCAGTATAAAAACCGGAATGTCCAACTGATAAGGCTGAACATTTTTTCACTTGTTATTTACAGTAAGATAAATATATTCACCAACTTTTATTAAAATAAAACCATTTAAACTGGGTGTTCGGATTTATATGTCACTTAGTATATTTCATAACTTGTATTTTCAATCATTAATGATTAACCTAGAAATGTGAGAAGAAAAATACTAATATATTGAACCGGCGGTGTATATGAAAACAATGATAGATTTCCATTAAATCAGATTGAAGTACACTCTTCATTATGATCTATACTTATATGTTCAAATTTCAAACACAAAGTGCAATGGGTGATACAGAATCTCTCAAACAAACGTCTGTTTTCAACTAACTATCTTATAACCTGATTCCATTGATTTTCGTTACATTCATTTTTCATTTTTGTCAGGTTTTCGCATAAATGCATCATTGTGAAATGACAGGAAGTGATAAAATTTTTGCTAATACAGGGTCTACAGAACGGTGAAAATACTTCTCGAATTTAAGAAATACTTAGAGCTGCTAGTGTCTCAGATTCACTTGCATATGTAGTAAATCTCGACATGAATTCTAATTTTCGGACAAACTGTGGAGTACAGAACCCGAATGTATCTAACGACTTGTAAACAACGACAGCTGAGAGTTCATTAAAGTTCAAAGCAAGACCATTGAGTCAGGTCAAGGGTTTCGCTAATGGTGGTGTAAAGACCAGAATATCATTCTGGTGAACCTCACAAGGCGGCTCGCGACGTTGTAATAATCTCACAGCATGAAAGTTGGAGAATTCTTAGCCTCAAAAAGATACTCGAAATAAGACATAAGAAATAAATTCTGAACGATTCAGATTGATTGATTGGTAGTTGAAAGTATGACTAAGCTCTGTATTCGACCACATTTTAAGGCATACCTGTTTTTCTTTCGGAAATTTAATCTACAAAAATAATTGATAATATAAACTACTTACTTACGTGTGGAAAAAAATATAAAATTTCCCGAAAATATATGAAATCAGTTTTTGGGATAATTTATATTTTGTCAAAATTGAAAAACGACCCTGAAACGGATCTCACTTACCGTGAAAGAAATAGGCTCAAATGAATGCATTAAATATGGACTGAGTAGGTACTTTACATATCGATGATAAGAAAGTATTTATGATTTACAAAATAAATATTGACATACGTAAAACAAATCTTATTGAACTTGAAGCAAAATACTTTTTAAAAAATAATTTAACCTACTGTTTCTCTGAGCATTATTTTTTCAAACCGACATTGTGGTATTGCCTAATAATGTTCATGTGAAAGAACAATTATGTTTCATAAATTAATAGTACACTGCTTTCAGTTGTTTACTTTATCAATAAGAGGGTCTACGTTAAAAAGTACATAGTTAATAGCTTCTTTCGTTCAGTTCAGTTTTTAGCTGATAAAGTTAGCATAAAAATATATTTATGTTATATTTTCAGAGCTTTTTGCTGTCAAAGTTGTTAGAATATAAACTAAATACTTTCATCTCATGATAATTCAAAGAAGAGTTAGTATTAGACATATTTCAAAATTTGAACTTTCCAAACAAATCGTTAACCACACCAAGAAGGTTGATGATGTTTTGAGAGTAACTGATCTGTAAGTGGAGAGGCTTCAGCAAGAAAGGTTTTAGATCATTTGGGATATTTAAAATTTTTGTATATAATCTAAAATTCGGCTATTTCCCTCCAATTACATAAACTCCTTCCAATTATCACAAAAAGTTAAACATCATATTACCACTATCAGTGAACAAGCATTTCGGGTAAAGCCCCGAAAAGCTTCTAAATAGAAAAACCTAGTTCCCGATACATATTCTCTATGTTTTCGATTCACACAGTTCGCACTGAATAGCACATGGAGAGAAATCAATACACACACCCGACCCAAATAGTGCAATCACCGGCCGCGACTGAGCTAGCTTTCGCGATGGAGTTTCTGTTTGCCTTCCTTCATCCCCTAGTGTGGAGAACCACCTGTAAAAATTGCGCCGCCGTCAGCTTATGCGCGGACGGTGAGATTTCAATGTAAAACAAGATCGTATTCGTTCAACGTGCGTTTCAACGATCTGTAGTTTAAACTTCAATCAACATCTTTAGTTGCCAGTTCCAGACCACATTACATTTACTGTCAATCAGATGCCTGGAAAAATGGAAATTAATTAATATTTTCAGAACCGCTTCAGATATTTCACGGATATTTAGAACGTAGTCAAAGTTAATAAAGTTGCATATTTTTCAATTCAAAAATAATTTTTAGCCTCAACAGTGGCGTGCGTACGGGTTTTGACTTCGATATTTTTTAAGAAAAAAATGGGACGCCAATGGTTTTTTGTCAAATAAAAATCATTTTTAAATTCCACGTTCAATTTAAAATAAATGATCTCTCTTGAATTGTTTTCTTTCAATGCGCCATTTTTCAGTAAAAAAAATTAAAACCGTTCTATTGTCCGAGAAAATTAATGTAATAATTGAAGAATGCAATTTAGCAATAATTATCTAGTTGAAAACTGGAATATGTCACTGGCTTTTGACATCTGACAAGTCTCTGTTATTCAAATCTGTTCGATGTGACATCTTTTTCATTATTTAGTTTTTACAATCTTGTTTTTAATGGTGAATTATTCGAATGCAGAAATGCATTACGTATATGGCCTTGACGACGGTAATGGTGAGCAAGCCAGATGGATTTATCACCAGAGATATCCCGATCCGAACCCATCGTCGTCTTGTTGAAACTGGTTCTGTCCGAAAAGGGACATCTGAAGGTAGACCTCTAAGTGTGTGAACACCTGAAATTGAGGAAGCAGTGCTATACGAAGTGAAACAACATCCTGAAACGAGTACGAGGAAGATCGCTAGACACTTATATAAATATCTGCCATCAAATTATTTGGCGAATTTTAGTGGTTTTTTTGTTATATCCTTACCATATTTTAAGAGTACAGGCGTTAGTTCCCATTGATTTTACAAGGCGTGTGAGCCTTTGAATGTGGTATCTTTAAAAAATTACACAAAATCCGCAATTTGAAACAATGATTCTGTTCACGGAAGAAGCTAATCTTTCTCGACATGCCATTCAGAATTTCTACAATAATCATTTGCAGACAGAAGAAAATCCCTATGCCGTAACCGAATCCCATTTCCAACACCAATTCTCGGTTAACGTATGGGCAGGAATTATTGACCACCACTTTATTGGCCCATTCTTCTTGCCAGGACGACATGACGGGCAGACTTACCTCAATTTTCTTCAACAACAGTTGCCTTTGCTGCTTGATGATGTTCTGTTAGTAATAAGAAACAATATGTGGTACATGCATGATGGTGCACCAGCGCATTTCAGTGTAGCTGTTAGTAATTATTTACAAACTGTTTATCCAAATCGTTTGATTGGCCGCGGTGGGCCCCAAGAATGACCACCAAGGTCCCCAGACCTCAACCGTTTAGATTTATTTTTGTGGAGCTATCTTAAGACACTGTAGAGGAATTGAGAGAAAGAATAGTTGCAGCTTGTGATAGAATAAAAGACACTCCAGGGATATTTCAACGAGTGCGCAATTCCTTGAGAAGGAGGGAGGAAGCATGCATACTAAGTGAAGGAGGCCATTTTCAACAATTTTTGTAATCATTTTGTTAGTTTGAATGTTATGTTTATGTTGTCAGTTGTTGTTGTTCATTACCCCTAACGTGTTTAATTTTTCCAATTAAATTAATAATAATTTTGCAAGTTATACAATTGAACGGTTTTTATTTTTTTACTAAAAAATGGCGCATCAAAGGAAAGCAATTCAACAAAGATCATTTCTTTTGAACTGAACGGAGAATTCAAAAATAATTTGTATTTGGCAAAAAACCATTGGCGTACCATTTTTTCTTAAAAAATATCGAAGTCAATACCTATACGCACGCCACTGTTAAAGCTAAATATTATTTTTGCATTGAAGAATATGCAACTTTATTAACTTTCACTACTTACTAAATATCAGTGAAATATCTGAAGCGGTTCTGAAAATATTAATTAATTTGCATTTTTTTCCTAAAACTTCAACACTCTGACTTATTGTAAGGAAACATTTTTGGACCATAGTTTATCAAGCAAACTAACATTAATTTTTCATGTAGATTCACACCCTTAAATATTCGCATATCATTAAGGAACACCCTGTATATGGTCACGATGGATCATATAGTGAACAAAACAAATTACAGCATATTCAGATTTTCTTGCGGTATAGGAAGGTTTTTATCATATTTCTCATACATTTAAGGAGCTTGGTATTCTGCAGATTAAAGGCGTGCAAAAACTCCGCTTATTGACACATGACACCAAACAACCGCGTTATTTGCATAAGAAATACGATGTAGCGACAACTAAATACAAGGAATAGAAATATGTGGTACCCGTCCATTCTCAAGCTGTCCACGAAAAATCATTCAGTTACAGTGCTATTAAATTATATAATGATCTGCCTGTTATGTTTCAAAATTACACACTAAAACTATACATCGAAGTCTGATATGATAATATATTTTATTTATCTGTCTTCCATACGACAGTTCGTTTGTTCTTATTCTTATTATTTTATCGCATTCCTATACAGTATGTTACTTCACCACGCAAAACTAGCATAGCCCAGGGGCGCCTGTGGTAGGCATTCTCGTTCTCAATAAAGGACGTCCAGCCCATTATAACGGCAAGCGAGTATTTTTTTTAATTTACCAGGTACGTCACTCTGGTCCATCGTCCCGAAAACACGATAACACACCCAGAACTGTTATCGTAACACACTGGTTAATTGTTATGCAATCTTCGAATAAAATGTTGCAAAGTGCATTTTTTTGGAACTGAAATGCGAGAAATACTGCTTCTCCTATGAGAAAATAATATAAGACACAACACTTGAGATTGAAGCAAGAGCATCTATGTTCTTCAGATTCTATAACAAACCATGAGAAAAAACCTGGATAAAAACTCACGGTCCATTAGGTTGGTCAATATATATAGATCTTACCTTCGACAAGCATGGGGTATTATCTCCTAGACTACTGTTTCGGATTCCGGGTGAAGTTTGAAACTGTTTGAAGTACGATTCATCTATTTTTCTCTTTTATTTTAGTGCAGCTTCGTAAAAATATTTTGATACGTTTTTTTCGCATGAACTTATTAAAAAATGACTACCTGTAACTAATCTGCTTGTTTCCAGGCCCAAAGTTTAGTCAAAAATTGTTTATGCTACGCCTTTAAACAAATGTCAGAAATTGTTTTTCTTCACTCCAGGCATTTTTGACGCTTTTTGGGGTTATTCTGAACAACAAAGCTTCTTATGATAGTTGAAGCTTGCAGTTTTCGAGATATAAACGATTTAATATTTGAAAAAATATAGGCCGTTTTTGACATCGAAAAACATGAAACAACCAAAAAACGAAAATGTGCTAGGGTTCCTAAGTATCCTTCAAATATCCCTTAGCAAATTTCCAAAGCATTTTAACGCCTATTTTTTGTAAAGAAAACAACATCTACAAACAGAAATGCTTTGGGATTTCCTTAACGATTGTTTCTTTGTATTGTTTTTTGGGGTTGAAAATTTGCATTCTTTTGCACTTTTTTAAATAATAAATCGCTTATATCTCGAAAACTATCATATATGCCATAATATATTTTGTTCAGAATACCCCAAAACACCTAAAAAAACTGTCCGGAGCGAAAAAGAAACTTACTTAAACAACTATTAACGCATGGTGAAGTATATTAAAACTAACAGGTGAGAAAATATGGTACATACAAAACGTACAAAAGTTATCTTTTACATTCCACATTAATTTTTATTTCCAGTCATTTAAATTTTACAGACATTTATTTTCGGTGTCAAGTAGAAAATACAAATCAGCGCCTGGATGTGACGCACTGCAAAAATGTTTTGTATGTGATGCGTCATTCCCAATTTTTTGAGATGTAGCACACACACACAACGCGGGTGCGGTGCTGATTTCTTGTAGTTTTTGGAAACGTGACGAAATCGTAATATATATATATATACAGGGTGACTTTGAAGTTGAGTCATTAATTTTCAGATAATGATTGTAGAAGGAAGATAAACCAAAATATGTGTAAAAATAAAAAAAAAATATAAAAAAAAATTTTACCTTGTTTTATAAAGTATCCTCCCGACAAGTATTTCAGTGCGGACCTGTATTTGATCGTGAGGTCTTGGAGCACCGGCATGCCGTCACCAACCTGATTCACGAGTCCGTTGTACTACATTAACAAAGGCACGAGGGGTTGGTTGCACTCGATTGGGAAACCGATCCGCATAAACATGTGCCATTTTTTATTTCGTTTGAGCCACGCAACAGACACCACTATTCACTGACACTGACTGTATACAAATGAATAAAATAATTGTAAAAACATCGTTCCAAATTCTTTCGCTGTTTTGTTTCCGATGTGATGAACCGATACGGCGGATTATATCCGTTGTCGCCAAACACGAGCACATATACGTAATATTATTATTGAGACAGGGCGGTACTCAAACTTCCAAAGGGCTATAAATTTGTTACTTTAATTTTACCAGAATGGTAAAGGAAAAAAACATTTCTTTTGATCAGATCTACTCTGTTAAAATAAATGACTCAACTTCGAAGTCACCCTGTATATATGTATATATATATATATATATATATATATATATATATATATATATGTACATGACCTATCTGGGACTGGAGACTAACTATATGAAATCATTTTCCTGACTTAATGCGTTTAATCACTTTGTTGTGAATGCTGGTTAAAAGTGAATGCTAATTAAAACGGCAAGTAAATAGTTTCTTGACATTTTGAATTTAACGGTACTTTTCTATATTATCTTTATTTAGAGGATGACAAATTAGAATCTGAATGCCTAAGTGTCCTCATGGACCTGCACTAGA